CAGGTGAGCGGAACCTTGTGTTGAGTAACTTGCAAAATCCCCAGGTGATTCACGATGCTGTTGCAGGGGTTGCTGCACTTAGGGATGGGAAGGTGGTACCAACGGTGTCTAGATTTTGGCATGAACTTGCCGGATCCCATGGTTTTGGTAGGCGCCCTAACTTCCGACCAAGCCCGTAATTACCAAGGATGTCTTTCTGGAAGACGCCAGCCAATTAAAACCACCTGCCATGCCGGTTCCTCCCAAAGCTTAATAACTGAGGAGTTGATGCAAGCACCTTCGAAGATCGCTGATAGAGCCACCGAAAATCACCTGCGCCATGGGAAAATGCCGACAAGTCCACAGAAGGCATTTGACCAAACTCAAGTAGTAGCATTGCTGACCAGAGTTAATGAAAATCGCCTGCTTCAGCCACTCATGGAAGCCAGCCGGTTGGCCAGGGCGCTCCGCTGCGTCCGCTCGTGCCGAAGAAAGGTTCCAGCTGCTAGCACTGACTCAGTATGTTCAAGTTGCGCCATACCATGTTGGCCTCTTCTGTACGCAGCCCGATGTCCAACATCATGGCAAGAGTTGGATTGGCACACGTTTCCGCCAGGGGCCTCGTTGCATGGAAGCGGTTGATGACCAGAGGAGTCACACACGGCTTGGTAATCTGAACCAGCATCTCCTTTGCTTGCGCGAGCGGAACCTCGGGAAGGTTGGGGTCCAGCACATGCTTCTTGGCCTCCGGGTCCCATTTGACAGCTGTCAAGCTGTCCAAGTTGGACGTCATCCAGCCCATCTCGTGAGCCTTGATCATGTTTTCCGGTTGACTGCTCAAGGCTTCCAAGCGTGCTGCTACGGTGCCGATCATATGTTGAAACAATATGACTCGCACAGGATGTTTCAGTTTGTCGGGCTGGTCCTGTTTCATCCGCTTCCCTGTTTGACCCATCTGATACATGCTGCTGGCAAGGTTCGGGGTCATATCTGTGCGAACAAACAGCATGAAAAGTCGTGGCTTGGCGGGGTTATCGCCATCTGGCTTTCGTGCCGCAGCAGCAGCGTTGTGACTGACCTGGGTTTGGAGCTGGCTTATCTGTTCTTCTTTCTTGCTGGATTGCCCGCGCTCCTTGTCCTTGTTCCAATCTTACATAGGGGTCGAGGCTTGTGTCGGCGCCTGGCTGGAAGTTGCTAGCTGGGGCTGCAGGGCCACGATCAAATCCAACTCCTGGGTAGCCTCCTTGAGGTCTGCCATGAGCGCCTGTCGATCGAGCAATGCGTCTGTGCAAGTAGACGCCATTGAAAATGCCCACACATGACTTCAAGTGAGCCCGCCTCTGCTTGAAAGCAAGTCCACAGTACTTGCAAGGGCTGATCAGGCCAAAATCTTGCTCTTGTATGAGTTGCTCAACACTGCGCACAACTGGAACAAGCTCTTTGTGTTTGGCAATCATGTGGCGCCGCACATACTGAGGTTGGGCACTCCAATGATGACATTCTAGACAATGATGATGGTGTTTCTGTACTTCCGGTAGCAACGCAAGGTCTCTCCAGGTAACATCTATCGCTGCCTCAAGAACAGAATTTCTAGCTACCAGGGCGTGGGACATATCAGCAATGGCACTGCGGAGTTCAGGATCCCCATAAAACTTGCTGATCTCAGGGCAGCTGCTGCAGTTCACATGGTATGTGAACGCCGGCCAATTCTCGAACTGGTGACTGCAATGTATACATGTCAGCATGCCATCCTTAGCATGTTCGTACACATCCTTTCGTTGTTGTAGTTTGATTTCTGTTTGCCGTTGAGTCTTTTCTGTGTCCTCAAAGTGCATCTTGAATTGATGACTCCGGAGTGCAACTTGGGAAGCAAAAGCAAAACCACACTGATCACAAAGCAATTGCTCCACAACTAGGTCAACCGGTACGAGCTTGGCCTTCTTATCCGGTGTGGCGTCGGTTCTAGGAACTGGGCCGACGCGAACATCCAAAGCACCCAGCCTTACACCTGCGCATGCTTCAGCAAATTGTGTACTCAGAAGATGCCGCCATTGTCTGACCTCTTCTGAGACCTCCAGCATGTCATATTCCGGAGCAGTCTTTTGTAAGCGATTGAGATGCACCTGCTGCAGTCGTTCAACGGGATCTTGAAGACGGTGCCTGTCCATAAAGTCATCATTGGCTTCATTGGTGAACATGCTCCAGGATCTGGCTATCCTTCTAGCCTGTCCCATGACCAGAACTCTAAGCTTTTGGGCTACCGTGGGGTTGAGGCCAGTACAATCCAAACCATGAAGCAGGCAAGGTAGAACGCATGCCTTCCAGAGATGCCAGCGGAAACGGATGGGGATGGAGCGGCAGGTCAGGATTGCCTCCGAGCGTTTAAAGGCTCCCTTCGCCAATTGCGCCCTGTACCGAAGGCTCTCCGCCTCAATCTTGCCATAGGTGATAACAACACCCAGGTAAACATGCTGGACGACAAGCTTAATATCGAGCGCCCGACCGTGTACATGAAAACGAATGCGCTTGTCCTTGAGACCTTTCACCAGGTATCTCTGTAAGGCTTTGTCAGCTTGAGTGCCCCTAATCTGCATCACAAGAACAGTCTTGGACTCATTGATTTCAAGGCCCTTGCCATAGAGAACCTGGAGGACGTGTCGCGTGCCCACGTAGGCTACTTCAAGGTCTTTTGCTGACTGCAACGTCCATGCAAACAGAAAGTCGTCAGCATATGTGGTGTTGTCCTTCGACACATTGACGAGCGTAGGATCAATTGCCTTCAGGACGTAGGCGCTATAAATCGCCCACACAATTGGAGATAAACCGCAATCCTGTCTGATGCCGCATGCCCTGTTTAGTAGCAACTATCTGGGACTTGCCACCGTGCTGGATCAACAACTTTGCCTGGGCATTGATTGCCATGATGATGGAGATGAGGTCTGGGTCCACCTGTGCTTGCGTCAATGCCATGAACAACTCTGCTCTGGGGAGTTTGTCGTAGGCCTTTGTGATATCCAACGACAGCATGCAGCCACCTGACAAAGGTAAAGGTTTGCGCTGATTTCTCTTGGCATGTATGTTGATCGACTGGTCCGCCAACAGCTTCTTAACCCACATGCAGTGGGCTACCACCCGTTCAAGAGCATGTTGGAGAGATCTTCCGGCCACGTATGCAAATTGAGGAATATCCGACATGTAAATCAAAGCCCAGGGCCGTAGCCTCTCCGCATCCATCGAAGCCACAATCTTAGCACATGGATGTAATAGGGCAATGGGTCGGACATCCGCTGCTGTTTTCAGGGCTTTGCCAGGTTTAGGTAGGAGAGCCACTTCAGCAATCGTCCATGCAGCAGGGAACTCAACTATGCCTGGTTGCAAAATCGTCGCCTTCCACAAAATTGCAGGGGCTGATTGTGAAGGAAGAGCTTTTGATGGAGAAAACTTCTGAGTCGCTTTCTGCACCTCTTCTTCAGTGAAGCACGGGCTCCAGGAAATTGACCACGTAGGTGAGGGCGGTCCATCATATTGACGGAAGAACGAAGCAAACTGTTCAAATTTTGCTTCTCTGGTCTGGATGTGTCCCTCACTATCCCTAAGTTGAAGTCTTTGGCTGGGGGCCTTAGGGTATAGGATCTTAGCTGCCTTAAAGATATTCTGGCTTCCAACAACTTGTTCAACTAGCTCAGTCTTCCTGAGCTTGCTGGCCTTGCGGAGCTGGCGATTGATTCACTGAAGTCTGGCAGCAAGTTGCCAACCTCCGAAAAGAGGGCGAAGATCTGCTTGAGCTAGTGGATGTTGCTGTCTGATCGTTGCCCTCGTGCTCCAAAGTTGCTTGACGAGACTCTCGCTGTCTTGTTGGGAGGGCAGGCAGTGAGCAGGATCACACGCAACTGATGCATTGGTTCTGTAGTAAAGTTCACAGCTTTCTTGCCAGCATTGTTGTAAAATATGATCCACGTCCGCATTGGCTTCAGAGGCTCCAGCCCTAGCCGTCACAAGTTCTTTGTAGTGGCTTCTGAGCGAGTCATGTTTCATCAGCTCCTTTGCTTGCCTCATGTTGTTGCAGCTTTCTCTATGTCTAGAGGTCACGGCCTGCCAACTGAACATTGTATAGGAAGATGTCTGCATCCACTGGTAGGTATAAATGGGGCTTCGAAGGTGGAGCAAGCTTTGGCTTTGCCATCTGCAAGTCTACCTCTGGCAATCACAAAGTCAATCTGGGTGCCAGACTCCGAGTGGCCATTGGCTGGCAAGAATGTTCTGGCTGCCTTGCCTGCTTTCGACCATGTATTCAAAGCGTTTGAACGACCTCCTGAAAAACTTCCTGATCTGTCTGTACCGCTTTCGAAAGAGAAACCAAGCCATGACCCGCATTGAGCCCACACTCAAAAAGCGGGGTGTTGAAGTCACCAAGGAGAAGGCATCCGTTTCTATGTGGGGTCCGCTTCAACCATCTCTTAATGTGATTCTAAATGGCTTGTCGCTGTTTCACTAGAGCATCTACCTTGCGGCCCTGCGTTTCATCGAAATTCTTCTGAGTGTTCCATGCATATTGACACACGCGCAGCAAATCAAGTGGTGTCTGAAATGGAATACGAACGTGTAAAAGTCTGCCCTGCAGGATGCTGGTGAACTGCAGTAAGGGGCCCTTCGAAAGTTTCTGGGAAACCAAGCATAGGATCCCTCCCTGTGCACCATGCGAACCCGAATGAATCGCATACCATCTGGCCTCTGATGTCGGGGATGGAGTCGTCACGAACTCCATGTCAGACTTCCAAGCCGTCGACCAGTATCATGATGTCGACAGGTTGTTGCGAGATTTCTTGTTCGTGCAACCATGCAAGAATTTCTTGATACCGCTCTGCGTGCAAACCACCACTCTCAATCTCAAAACATCAGCTGCTGGCGCCCCTTCGTCCCTTCGGGAGCGGCTTGGCGCTGACTGTCTCTGATGTCCTTGCAATTGCTGCAGCGTGAGGAAGCGACCACGGTACTATGTACCTCCATTCGTATTGGCCGAGGCCCTGTCAAGGGCACGCATGTAAGCTCACTTTCGAGCTCTGGGAAAAGTTGGTGGCCTCACGGTGTATCTCCTGCCACCCTCGTTCGCCACAGCAGGGGCAAGTGCCTCCGCCATGGCTCCAGTGCACATAAGGTGACTGTGCACAACCCTCACGCCCCCTGCGTTACCAATCATGGTCATGTGGACCATAAACCAAAGTATGCGTGGTGCGCAGCAATGGTGTCTTCTTGGGGCAACGCAGGGCTCGGACTTGGGACCGAGCCAAGTGTACTGTATGTTCAAAGTGCCTATCCATTTCCAGTAAAAACCAGGCGAAGGAATGCCAAACCACTGCAACACATTTGACAGTCGCCTTTTCGCAACTCGTCGTTTGATATGCTTCGCAAAGCCCTGTCGCATCCTCCAGCGCCTCCACAGTTTCCTCAAAGTTTCACTGTCATGTCTGCACTGGCTGCCTGGATCTGTTTTGGATTTTGCTTTCTGCAATCCATTCGAGCATCTGTCTTCGGTACTCTTCGGGCAGCGTTCTGACCAGGAACTCCGAGGCAGGTTGGTACAATGTATGTTGAACTTCTCTGCTGATGACTTCCGCCATTGTGCGTGCCAGACCCTCAGGAATTCTTCTCTCGGTGGCTGCGGTGTGGAGCAACATCTGAAATCTCTGCAACATCGAAGCCTTGCTGGGGTCGTCGGCGTTGCCAAGCTGGCGTATGAACTCCCGATCGTTCCTGAGCAGTCATGTTTTCCATGGTCATGTACATACATGTTGCTTTGTACTTGTTTTTGGCCCTAGGCACAGTCATGAGGCCATGAGCACTTTTAAGTATTACATTGCATGTCCCAGCTCAACATGTAGGTGTTGTAGCCCAAGTTTACCAAGACTTTCTTGTGTGTGTTGCGTAAAAGAAACCTCCGCTGTGTTGTGTGCGCCATGGACACTGGGGATGAGACTAGGGGCTTTGCAAACCCACTTGTTACCTCCTCATATGGAGCAGCTGCACATCAGCAGTCCCCATAATATTTGTATTTTATAGCATTTTGAGGTCTACATGGGGGTCCCCACATTTTTAGGGAAACAAGACCGCCTCTCTTCCGCTTCGAGGCGCCGGCCTGGACACTTCCAGCGGCCTGGCGCTGGCCGCGCACCTGGCAGCGGCGGCGCTGCTGCAGAGGCTGCGACCAATTTAACTTGCTATTACTTTTGCCACATTAGCTATAGTCTAAACTCAGTAAAGGGGGTTATGTAGGGGATTGTAGGAGGGAGTATTATTGGGGTTACTAAGGGGATACTAGGAGTTTAGGCTGTTGGTCACATGAAATACGTTTCAAGAACGGTAGGAATCAAGAGTCAACGGTGCTGATCGACACGAGCTGTTGCCATTTTGTTCCAGGGTTCACTGGCTCACTCAGTGCACAGATTTTCAGCAGGCCTCATTGACAAGAAAACTCTTTTAGAAGTCCTGTGGTGGATTGATTTGGCACTGCCTTGTTGGAGGCGCCGCTGGCTGCTGTCGGCCTTGGCGGCCCTGAGCACGCGAAGGCCAGGGATGTTTCGGGCTTTGCGGGGCTTTGGGGGTTTCAAGCTCTCCTCGGTCTTGCTTGTTGTATTTGGGGGGGGCGAACATGAGAGTCATTGGAGGGTTTGTAGCTCTGTCAGGCTCGGGGGTGCCTGGGATGCCTTCTGCAGTCGACGCGGCGCCTGGGCTCGCGAGGCTGACCATCTGCATGTGGTCTTGAAAGGCAGTACTTTTAACTGTACATACATGTTGGTTTCCTGAAGTTCTGAAGAGGCATACATCTTGGCGAGTTGCAGAAGGTTTACAGAAGGAAAGGAAGGAGAAGCATGCAAATGCAGTTTGCGCACGGAGCTCGCCTGCAGGTTCCACGTCTTCTATGCCGATTTGGGGAATTAGCATGGCTTCGATGTGTTCTCTGGCAGCTGTCACCTGGCGATCTTTGGGGGCATTTCTCAGCTGGGGGGTGCCCTTCATCTACCCCAGCCTAATGTCATTCATCATCTGCCAATTTGGAGCAATGCCTACCCTGCCCGTGCCCCCGTTGGCCTTGCACAACGAGCAATGCAAACCGCAAGGCAAGAATGCGAAACGGCCGGCAGCGGCAAGCTTGCAGAATGCCTTGCTCCGACCTAGCTGGCAAAAGGTTTGGGCTATGGCTGGTGAATGTCTGAAAAAACCTATGAAAGCGATGTGCCCCTCAAAAAAAGACATCCCCAAACGGATGATGGCAAGACGTTGCAAAGCTTTTGGCAACGGTCTCTCGTCCCCCCATAGCCCTAAAGAAAGAAAGATCAATTGTAGGCGAAGAGAAGAGAGTGAAGGAATGCTGAGAAATAAGAGATTGTTGGATCATGAAGGCCGGACGACGGGGGTCGTAAGTGTGGAGGGCTGCAGAACCATATGCCGTTTTGGTCCACGGGCGCTTACCTTGGAATTTTGAGCGCTGCCTCCTTTTTTTGCACTTGTCTTGCAGCACCAGATTGGCCTCAAGAGCATGCCAAGAGCACACCGGGGAACTTCATGTGCCAACTCAGAACGATGCATCCTCACATGCAAGCCCGGCTCTTGCATGGACTCATCTGCTTTGACAACAGCCAGTCGGGGTCAAGCCATGGGACTGGAGCTATGGCCAAGGAGAGGAGCTGCCGACGGACTCTGGAGACATTTGGAAACTGCCACCCAACAGAGCTAAATGTCCAACATCTCCTCAGGCCCTCAAGGAATTGCTTTGCGTTCTGCAGCATGAAGCCACGAAGCAGCAACTATTCGTTGACCCCTCTTCATTATTGCACGGCGCGCCCGTGCATGGAAACGCCCATTGAGCGAGCTTCAACTTGAAGTAGCTACAAGCCGTACCTTGACGTGGTCCGCAAGTGTTTGACTGATAGCTGGCCTATCAGTGGCATGGATCACCGAAGGACAGACAAAACGGCTTGGGACTCGATATTCGCCAAGTGGAATCACGACTGGCAGCATGAAAGTGGCGGATAAACAGCGCTCAGGACGATGACCAGTCCTCTGCCCTTCACCTTGCCGAAGCGTGTAGGGAGGATCTGGCTGGGGAGGATCTCAAAGTT